TGCACTGCCGGCACACGAACTAGTGAAGACAAGTGGCTTGAAAATTCATACCCAAGGTCTTGTGCACATGTACATGCCATATGCAAGGAATAGAGGGAATTGTTCAAATAACATTTTGGCGAACGGTCAACCGCAAACACAGGGTTTATCGTTCCCCTAATTCTAGAAAATGAGAATGAAGTCTGAAAAGCTGATACTAGGCATGGTGTCATGATATGACCTCATGATGTCATGGTAAAAAATTGAGATGGTTTAAAAAGATTGACATGTGCTCTCTTTAGAACTGAACCATTTCCGACGTATGATCGTAGTTTGTAGAGGGGGCTGCCATGTTTAGAAGATAATTGGAATATCCTTCGTAATTTCACCTTGAATTTTTACCAGGACAGGATAGTGACGCCTTCTCAATGGCTGGGATTTGTGATAAGGATGGTACTGACGCATACCCGAGCAAGGGGCCGCTTGGTCTCGGGGGGCCTCGAAGCCCGAAGATCTCACCCGGTGTCACCGCCAGCCGCACGTCTGTCTTGCACTGGTTGATGAGCATGAACTCCCGGGCCGACTCCGCGCGCCTAGGGCTCATACTCAGCTCATTACTTTTCAAGTCGAGCCAAAGAGACGACTCGATCTCAATTGGCTCACGAGCCTCGAGCTTTTCTTGCAGCCCTAGGCGCGCCTCATATCCACTGTCACAGCGATAAAAAGAATGTTTTTTTTTTCTTCTGTTCTGTTAATATAAACTGCAGCGTCCAGAGCATGTTCTTTGCATCTTCATGTATAGCACAAGTAATCTGACAAATCGACAACTTCAGACAAACAATTTAGGGCATTGGGCAGTGTATGGTAGGACTTCCCATTGAGTTTCAGTTTGACTTGACCTGGCAGTATTTGAAACGAGGCCTACACTGCATTTGAAACGGAGTGTAAAAAAACTGAGAAGATGGAGGTGGGACAAGCATAGATGGAGACCAACTTGTCTGGTGATGATTCCAAAGCATATCATTCTATGCTAGCAGTCAGAAAACTTGACACATTATTACTCCTAGCAACAGCAGAAAGTGAGAGGAGGTGAAGAAATTTCCTTGTGAAGAGCACCTGAGAAGAAGCAGAGGCAGAAGCAGGGCACTCCCCCTCCTTGGCCCATTGCAGATTCAGGTGCAGCAGCAACAGTGAAAAAGCTCTGGTGTTCCTCTTGCCATGGCATTTCTTCCTCAGATTCTCCAGACAGGCAGAACCCTCTATTCATGTGTTCTAAGATAATGTGTCCATTCCTGGGAAGGAACACAAGGCAGAGACATGATTCCCTCCTGCTCCAAGCAACAACACACCTTCAGGACCAACATAAAACATCTCAAGCTAGCCACAGAACCACAGTATGCAAATTTCATGCAATACAGGAGACAGACAGTATCAGACATCGTTGGATCATCTTGGCGACATGATAAGCTTGGAGGTCATACAAAGATTGTTATTACACCAAGCGTACCATCAACGGATCGGACCGTAACAGTTGTTACACTAAGGAACTGCTGCTTTGCAGCTGGCTACAACTAGAGCGCGGCTGCACCAAACAAATCGATGCTTAGCCAATGGGTGATTACTATCACACCATTACATCTACAAGCGGGATGCCCTGGGCAGAACAAGAATCTGCTTGCACTGGTGACCGTAGTCTCCGAGGGAGGTGCTTGTACGTCGAGAACTCATCAGTCGTCTCCCAGCTTGACCTTATAATGCTGAGCGAGTTTAGTAATGTCCCCACCGGTCATGAGTTTCTCGAGCATGTCGTACTTGCTATTGCTTGCTTCCAGGGTTTCCTGCTGCTGCGCCGCCAGCTCCTTCTCCTCTTCCAATTGATTCTGAAACAAAAAGGAGAACAAAGTTTAATGAAATTATGGCTCGGATACAAAACAAACGAGGTTTAAAGCAACTGTATCACATTTTAAAGAACAGCATCATCATCAAAATTCTCAAAATATGTCTGACATTTCCTGTTCCCTGAGCAAGTGTTTTTCTCATTTTATTAGACAAGTAAAGGAAAGAAGAAAGATTTGCAGCTTTTCTTAGTAGTGGGCATACAAGTACATAATAAGAAGAGTAAAGAAGTAAAGAAACAACCACTTCACCTTGATAAGTGCCATATTTTCTGCTTCTTGCCTCCTGGCGAGGCCCTTGAGCTTATTCATCCCATCATACCCTGGATCTCCTTGCTTTACCCAGCTGAACTCAATCTTCAAGCCAGGCTTCCTAGGGCGGTCCGGAAACATGTCGGGCTTTGCAAAGACAGCCCTCACAGGCCTGGGCATCCCGCCGAGCATGAAAGGGAAGTTGTTCATCAGGTCCACAGCAGCCTGGGCCTGCGACACGTTGTCCACCTCCACCAACGCAGCGGCGGGGATCTCGTACTGGATCGTGTAGTTCTGGATGAACTCGGTGCTGACGACGTTGGCGCACTGGGCGAGCGACGCCTTGATGACCTGGGCGGTGACCAGGGGGGAGAGGTGATCGATGTATATCGTCCTCTTGACCCTCGCCTCGAAATCAGCGTACTCCTTCGCAGCCTGTTCGTCGTCGTCCTTGTGAGCCTGTTGTTCGTCCTTCATATCCTGCTGGTCCTTCTTATCCTGTTCGTCGGGTGTTGCCATAGGAGCTTCTGCGGGAAATAACAACGCCTAGCAACAGTCACTCGTAATGGCTGTGATTTCCTCGGAATATAATTAAGAATAAGCACTGTGCAAGACACATCTACAGGTTTTACATTTATAAACAAACAGAGCTGCCAAGCATCAAAGGCAAACATGAAAAACAACATAATAAGGGCATCATCTGAACAAGAACAAGCATTGTGCAGCAAAAGCGTCCACAGGTCTCACACTTACAAAACTATCAAACATAAAAGACAACTATCAGCAGTGGAGGGCTGCTCATTTATCTATCTCCTGGGTGTATGGGTAGGGATATGGCTCCCAGAATTTCAAGGCTTCATCCAGAAACAGGGTCCAGCATGCCGGTTCAGTTTAGGATTTCCCTTTTGATGAAACAGGGGCCGGCATGCGGATTCAGTTTAAGGATTTCCCTTTTTGATGAAAGGGCAGTTGCCCCAATCTCCATTAATAGGAACCTACAATTGTACCACCACCTCAAACAGAGCGAGCAGCCACCAGGCCAGCCGCAACTACTCAAGCATCGGGAGGGAAAGTTACAAAGCCATGCAAAAGTTCATCAACATTGCTCGGCACATCACTCAGATCAATCAAACAGGCAAAAATAAAATCTTGCCTTCGCAATCTAGCTAGCAAGCCGTTCCCAGGTCGTCACAGCGGCTGCTGCCAGGGCGGATCTAGACGGCGTGCGCCCAGAAGCCGTGGGGTTCAGCGGGATTTGTATTGAGCCTAACCGCCGGATGAAGATGGAGAAACCTCGTACCTCAGACCCAATGGGCGGACGGGGCGGAGACGGCGGCAGCGCGGCGTCCAGGCGGGGAAGAACTGGGCCGGCGGCGGCGACGCGCGTGGGATGCGGGGCCGGCGCGGGGAGAGGGAGTGAGGGGCGGCGGCGGCGGTAGGGACTGGAGACGAGAGATTGCGGCGGTTCTATCCTTTTCCGGTAAAGGTCCGGACTTTTTGGGCAATTTCCGACCCGCCGACCTTGTTTCTGTTTACTAGGTAGGCTCGCCTGAATTGAAAGTCCGGCTCTTTTTTAGACACAGAGTCCGGCTTTGTCTGTTAATCCATAGGTGTCAATTAATTGGGCAGAAAAGTAGCGGAAAAAGCTCTGCATCCCTGGCTGAATGGTTAAGTGAAACTAAGGACATGTACAATGGTTGATAAGATAGTCTCAAAATGAAGGAGACAGCCAGCCAGGCACTGCACCTGCACCTGCACCGGCTGACAATTGTAGGTTAGTATCTGGCTGGGATCTCGAGATGAGTTTGACCAGCAAAATCGCCTGGCCAGCTGCTCCTCCACCCACCCCAACTCACAAGTCACAAACAGCAGCCTGGAGACTCACTCAGCTTTGACCACCACCGGTAATCGCGTGTGTTTGCGAGTCCAGTCCACCGACCACCGTCACCTAATCACCTGTACGTCTCATCGCCGGCCGCGTTACGTCCTGTCCTCCGGGGACATCGCTGACACGCTCACCCAACTACAGCCAGCCCAGCTGAATCACCCAAAAATAAATTCCTACAGCCAGCTGCAGACATTTTATTTATTTCTTTATTTTACTCTGCTTTGCTTCAGTCGTCCGTCTCTGAAAAGGATGGCCAAAATATTTGCAAGAAAAAGGAGAGGAGGCGCCTTAATCAACCCGTGATTAGTTGATCACGGGGTTGATTAAGCAAGCATTCACATGTGCCTCCTGACTGCTCCTCTTTATAGATCAGCAGATGATACTAGTAGATGGGAGCTCTCCAACAACCACGAGATATTATATCACAGCCCCAAAAAACAGCTTAATTAATTTCTTCACACAACGAAAAAGCAACAACAATACCATTTCAGAATTTCAGATTCCATGCAACCGTGATTACAAAGGCGCCTCTACTATGTACTACTCCCTCCGTCCCATAACATAATAACGTTTTTAACACTACACTAGTCTAAAAAACGCTCTTATACCTTTGTACGCTAATATAAGACGTTTTTTGCGGCTCAATTTGAACGGGAAAAGCGTCTTACATTAGTGTACAGAGGGAGCAGCATGTAAATGCTCGACCAACAACTTTCAAGTCTTTGTAACATCAATCACTGCATATATACACAAGAGATACAGCTAATCATGCAGGGAAGGAAGCATGCCATGGAGGGAGGGAGGGAGCCACGGGTATTGATGGACAAACATCAATGGTGGTACGGCCTGTCTGTACCGTATTATCATCTTTCTAGGCTAGCCAGCTAAAAAAATGGGGGGAGGACAAAAAAAGGGTATAGTATATGTATCTGGTGGCCATGGTGCCTGCTGCAGAGATCCACCGGAGCTGACGGCGTCGATCCTCGTCAGTTGTGCAGAGGGTTGGGCCCCTGAGGAACCGCTCTCCTCGAGACGGTGAACTTCCCGGCACCGATGTCGTCGTCGCCGCCTGCTTGTTGAGTAGGGGAGATGATTGGGGGAAGCTCATGCTGGCCTTTGATGAGCTCACCGACCGCTTCTTCTTCCTCCCTCAGCGTTCTCAAGCCATGGCTCGAGCTCGGCAAGCATGACATGGAAACAAGGAGCAGGAGGAGGAGGATGCAGGGGAGCAACAAGTGCTGCTGGGAGGATCTCCTCATGGCATGAGAGAGAGGGAGAGAGAGATAGAGAGGAGCAGGGGAGGAGGAGGGTATTAATATGGATTTAGCAGCTGGGAGAGAGGCCACTAATAAGAGGAGACACAGGTAACAAGAAATGGACACCGAGTGATCCTCCATCCTCCATCCTATATATGGCCTATAGTAGTAGCAGTAGTACTCCAGTGACTCTGACTACATGGTATGGTGATGTGTTTGGTTCACTAAAAGTTTGGCATGTGGGGCCCACTGATTCCCCCCAGCAAAGAAAATCCATGTTTCCTGAATTTCTTGGATATGGAGACCAGAGCCTGGGCATGGGATCCACCTGCCATCCATGGTTAGGAGAAAAGCATGCATGGGCATGGCTAATCCTACTGACCAGATATGGGATATCTCTCTTTAGTACGTATCTTCCAAGTGTCCCATCCATGGACTTGGTGATCTAGAAAGGGGAGCAGGTGCTAGCAAGGTTTCCGTGAGGAAAAGCAGTGCACTTTAGGCTACATGCATATATATAGAAAGAAAAGACATGTACATGAAACTCATGGTGCTTAGAAAAATGGCTGAGCAGGGCCCATTGACAACCTTGGCTGCTTGTGCCAGCAAGTCCTCCATGCCATCATGTTAGCCTGCCCAGCCAAGCAACCAAAGGAAGCCAATGGCCCTGACCTGTCAACACTCAACAGGAACCCCATGCCCTTGGTTATAGACACAAGTTAACTGTAGGGTGAGTGGAGATGTCTCCCACCATTAGACTTTCAGAGCATGGCAGTGGCTCAAGGCTCAAGCTTGATTTCTTAATTAGCAGGAGCCCCATGCCTTTGGTCATAGACACAAGTTATCTATCTATCTATCTATCCAATAGGGTGAACTTTTCAAAAAAATAAATATAATAGGGTGAGAGGAAATGTCCCCTCCCATTAGACTTTCAGTGCATGCATGGTGGTAGCTCAAGCTTAATTAGCAGCAGCGTAGACCTGGTGGGAATCCAGACACAAACAGGGTAGGTGCCCAGTAATCTAAATCTAAATAGTGCAAGGCTGGGTCGAACAAGACACAAATGTCAATGTAAAAAGCACAGTCTTCCCTCGGATGAATAAATAAATAATGCAAAGCGCAGTCTCCAAGTTTAGGAAGCATCCAGCAGCGTTAATGAAGAGGTAATAAAGGTGGTCATTTTCCTTGCGGAAATCTTGAGTCTACACGCGTCTTCCTTGCCAGCTTAGCACTTTTGGCTAGTCTGACAGATTCTAAGCTCCCAACCAACCACCCTGGCTAAATTACCATCACAAATCTCACTGACAGTAGTGCTACTGCTTGATAGATTTTACTACTACTGCAGATCACAAATCTCACTGACAGTAGTACTGCTGCTTGATAGATTTTGCGATGGACATGTTACTAAATTGTTAATTGATGTGAGTGTTAACTGTGTGAGTGCCCTGGTTCATCAATGCTGCCCGCTCACTGCAAGCAGGTCTGGCAGCGATTCAAAATCAAGCAACCAGACCACTGCTGAAGAGCAATGCTTGCTCTCCCACTTAATGCCGCTCTAGCTGGAGAATTGATGGGGCTGTACGAGCAATACACTGACCTGGTACGAATATGCATGCATGCTTACCTGTGGAGAGGGCATCCAGTGGTGCTTGCTGCTCGGTGTTGACAATGAATGAACCCCCATGAGCTGCCTCACACAGATGGCCACAGGGGCAGGCTGACCTGGAATTATGATCAGCAATAGTTGTAAAGCATAAGAAACTACACATTCACCGGGATGATTTTCTCCGCTTCATACGCACGAGTGACATAATATGATCATGCAGTTTGAAAGGGTTCATAGGAGCATGTGATTGTTACCTGCGTGGCATCTGTGTTCTCCTGCAGTGTGGTCAAAAGCAACAGGGATTAGGGATAACAATCATGCTACAGCCTTCAGTAACAGGGCATTCCTTAAATTCATAGCTATATGACTTTCAATGCTTGATTAGCACTGGAGCAGTAGCAGTACTAGCTTACCTTTGTCCCCGGGCCACTCTGCAAGACAAGGGCATGAGTCAAATCATGTTGCTTCTGCCACAAGGCTACTGCCTCACGGTCTCCCCTCGTGGCCGCGTGAATCTTGCATCCACTGTCTGCTTGGGTTTGATTGACAGACTTGCACACCAAGAACCTGCACTTCTGTTCAGTTTAATTTAGATGTATGCAAAACAGAGTGACTCACCGAGACTGCAAAATAAAATACCGCTCACACAGAACAGGGTCAGTAAGACATCCTCCAGAGAAACAAAATTTCAGCCAACCTAACTGGTCAGTAAGATCCTACTTATAATTATCAAACGCAATATCATTCATCGGAGTGAAAAGATTCTTCATTGGTGATATATGGTAAGGGTATATGTGGCAGACCAGAGTACAGACTTCTGAAGAACACACATGGATGCCATTTTTATTCAGAATGGTACAGACAGTAAAACCAAGGGCAAGTCGTTCGATGGTAGAAAAGTTACATCTTTCAGGCATACAGATCCAACAAAATCTACCGCTGCTGCGATTTCGGCAAACTAGTACGGGTTCTTTGTCAGGTAAAAGAAAGGGGGTTCTTCGTGTCACACTTCGATATTTTTGTGGAGGAACTTGAACAAACAATTTATGAATATCATGTACTGGCTTCTGCGCCAAGTGTAGCTCTGACTCCATCCAGGAATGTAATCGGCTGGATACCGAGCGTCTGAGTTAGCCTGGTGATATCCATGGATATGTCTGGCGGAGAAGCTACACCCCGGTTAACCTGGATAATAATAAATGGATGGGGCCATTAGCCACTGATGAAGGGTCGTATGACTACACAATGCTTGAAATGAACTCATTTCAGGCAGACAGGCTGGAAACCTAAGACATAAAGGAAGAGCAAAGAAGCTAGCACAACTGCAAAATTAATTCAACCTGTAAAGTTTGTGACTGTTCTGTAGTGCATTGTGAACTACGACTATCACTGAAAACAGTTCACATGAGCAGAGGTAGAATTCATACCGATGATGCAGGAACAGATTTGATTATCGATTTGCTATATCCACGAACTTCAGCAACAGACTCAGCCATCTGCAGTCTTGAAACCCTATCTGGTCCACCGACATTCAGAAGTACCTGAACTTTTTTGCCATCTGCAAAATGTACTTTAGTGTCAGTGCAACTGATAGACGAAAAATAAAGAATGAAACCATTTAAGATGCAGAGAACAATATTGAAGTTATTAAATGAAAAATGGAGTGCATTTTAGAAAGAGCAGATTTCATACAGTTAACCATTACACTGTATAAAAGGAGCATTCCTAATGACTGCACTCCATAAAATCACGTTGAATTCACTTTTTCATACCTGATAACCAACTTTTTATTAAAGACAATATTACATCCACCATATCTTTTACATAAACTGGGCAGCGGTACTCATCATTAAAAAAATCAACTTGTTGGCCTTGTGAAAGGACAGAGTTCATCCACTGCAACCAAAGAGGCATGCAGTTTCTAATTAGACACTACATTCTGCAACTGTTGTGCAGTCAACCAGTTTTATTTTGTTTTAAATTTAGCAACAATGCTTTGGAGTGGTTGGTTATCTTACCTGGACAGGGAGCGACTTTTCCACAGGAGAGATAGTTTGTGGCCCGTAAATGATGCTGCTTCTCAAGATTGCATAGTTCGAGCATTTCTCAGTAATGAACTTCTCTGCAGCAACTTTTGATTTGCCATACATGTTCACCGGCAGTGTCTCATCCTCCTCTTTGTAGAAGGATTTCACTCCCTCATAAACTGTTGCACATGAGTTCTAGATTAGATTTGGAGTTGGCACAACATAAATATATGGTTATATACTATGGATCAGGCAATCAGCAAGGTATAACTTTGGTAAGCTCCTCATTTGCCCTTGGCTTAAGCTCACCTGTGAACCTAAATTACCAACAAATATAAATGCAAGTGGATGCATGCTTGCTTGTAAATTCAGGCAGACGGTGGATGCCAAATATGACAGTACGAATGTATCACCTCGCATCAATTGACAAGTGTGCTCTACCTTGATCTGTGGAGAGATGAATCAAAAGAGTCTTGTCATTCCCGAAGCCCAGCGACCAATTGACAAGTGAAGAAGGCACATTAGTAGCCATGGCAGCAGCTGTGTCCGTTTCGCACGCCCGAGGAACCGAGATTGCAGCACAGTTCACAATCACATGCGGCTGAAGATGATAAGCATTCACACTCCCAGTTAGAGGGCAGCAACGGGATTTTACGAACTCAAGTATGAAAAGAGCAAGAGATGAGTAATACACATGGTTTGATGAAACAGTTGTGGATAGTCGAAAAGTGTTTCAACACTTCACCCAAGTATGAAAGAAACAAGGAAAAACTATGCAAGCGCAGAAATGATCTCCGGATATTGATTAACACTCTGGAAAGTACAAATATATCACGCATACAAGCAATCCAGTGTGAAAAAAATAAACAAAACAGAAAAGTAAAAAGAATCAGGAAAAAGAGGCCGCGGGCTCCCGCGCTGGTGGGCTGGCCCAGCTCGCTCGTCCCTCTTCAGCTCAGCGAGTCCGAAGCCATCCAAGACTGCACGACCGAACATAGGCAGGTGGAGGGAATAGGGTTCCCCGGCGCCCCAGCCACCGCCGCCGCCGACCCCGACCCCGACCCCTCCGGCGACCCTCCGCGCCCGCCCAGGTATCCCTCCTACCTCCCTCTCCACCCTTCCTCCCCATTCCCTCCCTCCCTCCCCTTCCGCCACTGTCACCCGCGGCTTTGGTCCGGCCGGCTTTCTCCACCTGCCCCTGCTCCCACCACCAGAATGGCCGGCCGCATCGGGCTGCAGGCCTTCCATACCTTTTTTCACCAGTAGGATTACATACAAACTGTTGTTTGATGCATTGGTCAGTACGTAGGTGGTTGTGTGAAATTCTTTGTATGAACTGCACTCGTCTATTGCTTGTATGCGTGACATGTATTAGATGGTTTGTTGACATTATGTATTTTCATGTATGCTCCATCTTCTTCTACTGAAGCTGTATGTATGATGCCATATTCTTGCACTGCTTCATTCATAACTGAATGTTCCTTTGAAAAAGGGAATGATCGTTGAATTACCTGCCAATGTAGTAGTACACATCAGTGTTTTACAGTCAATTAGCATTTTCACACACTCTTTTTCAGAATCTGCAGCTCAACCTAACACAGCCGCCGCCAGAGAAGAGCCCTAGATGGGGGGCGGGCCACGGACGTTCCCAGGCGGGCTGTCCAAGTGGCAGCACAAGCGGATGCACGAGAAACTGGCGCGGGGGAAGGAGCGGGGCCTGCTCCGCCACGAGAAGCAGCTCTACCTCGCCCGCCTCCGCTCCGAGATCCGCGCCTCCCACCTCCCCGGCGCCCCCGCCTCCCCCGCCGACCATGCCGGCCCCACCTCCTCGCGCGCCCACATCCGCGCCCTCGCCGACCGCTTCCTCCGCCCCGGCGCCGAGGACCTCTGGAACGACGACGACGGCCCGCTCCGCCGCGCACGGCTCCCCCTGCATCAGCAGCAGCAGCCCGCGAGGAGCCTGCCGTCCGGCGCCCGGATGGTCGACTGGAAGCAGGTGGAGTCCGGGGAGAAGCTGAAGCCGCCCCGGGGAGGAGGGGACTGGAAGGATTGGGAGGAGCTGGATTCTGTGGAGCCGACGGCGGGAAGGGGAGCCGGAAATGAGCCGCGATTGCCCGCCGCGTTCAACCAGAGGAGAGGGTACGGGACGGCCGCTCCCTGGTGGTGGCAATGGAGCCCGGGCTCCGGCACGCCTTCACAGAGGAAGGAGGCGTCCTTCGGCTTCTTCGGTCCGAAGAGATGCTACTCGGTGATGCCTCCATGCTCGCCGTGCCGGGAATCGGGTGCTGCGCTGATGCCGTTGGTTGCTAGACAGCTCGCCGAGGCTGGAGATGGCAGGAAGGCGACACCGTTGGCTCTGTTTTATACTCAGGAGAGGTTGTACTCTGTAGCAGCCACGCGGCGGTTTGGCCAGAAATGGAGGCCGGATTCATCGGACGAGGATGAGGAGGTTATGCCGGCTGCTGATCTGAGGTTGGCAAAATTCATGGCTTCGAGGGAAGATGAGTCGGAAGATGATGAACCGGGGGAGACGAGCGCCATCAGGAGGAAATGGAGCACTGCTGCTCTGAGGAACTGTGATATGAAGAGAGATAGGAGACCGCTCAAGTCCTACGAGGAGGAAAGCGATGATGATATCACTGGTAGAATCCAAGAGCTGCGAGAGGAGATAAGAAACAGGGAGGTGCTGGGTGCTGAGAGGAGGCGGTACGAGTCAAGGGGTGAATCTGTGTTTACCAATAAAAGGTTACACTCTCGCCGTTATCTCTGATGTTGTTTATTTTCCTCGTAACCAATTGCCTCATTTGTTGTGTGGCCTGATAACTTTGTAACAAGTAGTGTCTGCATGGATGAATTAGGAAAAATCAACTAAGAAGACTTGAAATGTGTGGCTCTTGATATATGACTCACCAAAGTTGCCGCCTTATGAAGTTTCTTTCTGTTAGTCAGGCACTGGTCTATAAACAAGAATTGGCCACCTGTAATGCAAATGATAGACATAATGTTTGTAGCACATCCTGCTTTTTTACATGCCTTCTAACTCAAGATTAATGAATGATCGGTGAATTAACTTCTTCAAATCACAGTCCATGCTTCACTGCAATAGTGATTATGCCCATCTTATCAGCAAGTTATGATATTTCTTTTTTCCTTAGATTTGATGAGTTGGCATCACAAGTCATGTTCTTGTTTTATCTTCAGATTCGATGAGTGTGGCATCTCCCCACTTACTGTCAAAGCACTCACTGATGCTGGATATATACAGACAACTGTTGTCCAGGAAGCAGCTCTTCCAGTTTGTCTTGAAGGTATTATATCTTATTTCACTTTCCTCGTGAACGAATTTCCTGAATCACGGGGAAAGAATCACAACCTTTTGGCGGTAATATCATGGGACGTGTTGTTTGACTTCAGTAGTTTGTATTTAGCACTTGCCTCCAGTAGTACCATTTTGGCTGTGCATGAACTATCTGAAGATGCTATCACTGAAACCTTGCAACGATCAGGGGATTGCTCCTCACTCCTCACTCACTCCTCACTGTCTAAATGCAGGTAAAGATGTTCTTGTCAAGGCCAAAACTGGAACCGGCAAAAGTGTAGCTTTTCTGGTAATGTTCATTTGCAAGAAGTTACTTTGTGATGTTGTTCCTTTCGATTTTGTTGTCCTTCAACCAATTTATTAAAAGCCATGAATTGATAAACAGCTTCCTGCAATTGAATCAGTCTTGAATGCCATGAAGAGCCATACAAATCATCGAGTGTCTCCAATATTTGCCCTTGTTCTATGCCCTACAAGAGAGCTTGCCGTCCAGGTTACAGCTGAGGCAAATGTTTTGGTGAAGTACCATCATGGAGTGGGTGTTCAGTCTCTTATTGGTGGTACCAGATTCAAGCTTGATCAGAGACGATTAGAGTCTGATCCATGCCAGGTTTGTAGCATTTACTGAGCTACCAAAGATCAAGTCTAAACTCCTAACTGCTGGGTTGACTTAATATGGTTGGGTTTTCCCTTTTCAGATTTTAGTGGCAACACCTGGTAGGCTGATGGATCATATTGAAAACAGATCTTCATTTTCTGTCCGCTTGATGGGATTGAAATTGCTTGTGCTGGATGAAGCTGACCACTTGCTTGATTTGGGTTTTCGCAAAGACATAGAGAAGATTGCTGATAGCTTGCCACGCCAAAGACAGACACTACTATTTTCAGCTACTGTTCCAAAAGAGGTAATGTAGTCAGCACAGCCTGTAGCATGAGTGCCTTTCTTGTATCATATAATCTGCAGTTTACCTTCTTTATGGACACCCACTGGTCTGAAAACGGGAATGATGGTTCTCATTCTTTATTGGCAGGTTCGAAGGGTTTCACAGATGGTTTTAAACAAGGATCATGTTTTTGTTGATACAGTGGGCTTGGGGGCTGTTGAAACTCCTACTAAGGTTTCTATTTCTACTCCTACTCCAGTAATATTTGGCACCAATGACAAACAGAATAATCTTCCATTAGTGGCTGCAAAGCACTTGTTTCATTCTGGCTTCTGCAAGTAAAGAGTGTTACGGTTGACATTCTCACTTTGCATTTCCCTTACCAGATGTTTGATGTGTTTTTATTTTATTTTTGGATAAGGCAGTTGATGTGCTGATGCTATGGTGTTCTATTGCATCATTCTATTTAAGAAAAGGACCCCATTTAGCTGTTTAGAGTTTTACACGTTGTTCAGCTTTCATTGGAAGTTTGTCATGCAAAAGATGTCGACATTCACATAAACATTTATGCCAAATGTCACGTTGTATGATAACACAAGCAGCACTTCTGAACGAATTTGATCTAAAAGTAAAATATTTCTCCCTCCGATCCATATTAATTGTTGCTGATTTAGTACAATTGTTGCTGATTTAGTTAATATGGATCGGAGGGAGTATGATTCTGTAATAGCCTTTCTGTTATGGATTTATTTTGTGTGGTAGAATATTGATCCCTTAATGTCTTCTGTTCTTGAGCTTAGGTACAACAGCAATATCTCGTGGTACCACATGAACTGCATTTTCATATGGTTCATCGCCTTCTTCGAGAGCATATTGATCAGGAAGTGGACTATAAGGTCCTGCCTCCTCTGCCCACATCGCTTGATCAAGCAGTATGATTTGCTGGTAAATTTGCAATTTCTTAAATCACTAATGTCTTTCCATTGCATGCAGGTGATAGTTTTCTGCACAACTGCCATGGTGACTGAATTTATGTATATAATGCTTCGAGATCTGAAGCTAAACGTCAGAGAGATACATTCAAGAAAGCCCCAGCTTTATAGAACACGTATTTCTGAAGAGTTCCGGGATTCCAATCGCCTGATTCTGGTAACATCAGATGTTTCAACACGTGGAGTGAACTATCCAGATGTTACCCTAGTGATTCAGGTAGAATTTCTTTTCCTTTTGATGGTTCATACAGCTGAGGAAGTTTCTGAGCAAGAACATTTATCTGCCTAGACTAAAGCAACTGCAGGAGTGGCAGCTATCTCTTTAATGGCATTACTTTGCATGGTTGTCTTCACCATTGCTGCTCTAACCGCACCTTATGATTGTATTAGGCTGGTGTTCCTCCTGGTAGAGAGCATTATATTCATCGTCTTGGAAGGACTGGAAGGGAAGGTAAATCTGGGAAAGGAATTCTGTTGATTGCGCCATGGGAAGAGTATTTCTTGAAGGAGATACATGATCTTCCAATACAGAAGGCTCCTGTGCCACAGATTGACCAGGAGATGAAACAAAAGGTTTGACTCGGCATACTTGTTCATATTTTGTATTTCGGTGTTATATGCATACATTCTCGTCTGATTATTTTCCTGAATTTTCTGGTACTGCAGGTTGATGATTCGATCAAGATTGTTGACATGAGCATCAAGGAAGCCGCATACCATGCATGGCTTGGTTACTATAACTCGATAGCTGATATTAGCAGAGACAAAGTCATGCTTGCTGACCTGGCAAGTAGGTTTGGCGTCTCTATCGGCATGGAAAAGCCTCCGACGCTATTTAGGAAAACCGCCTTGAAGATGGGGTTAAAGGGTGTACCAGGAATTCGGATAAGAAAATGAATAACCAAGCTACATTTTGTCTCCCATTCTGTAATTCGCCTTATTTCTAATTTACAGTACATCAAGTCTGAAACTGATCGATGTCTTGTTGACTGGCTCAAATGAAGAACGACTCTCACTTTTTTCTTACGGCCTTACACTCATGTGATTGAGCTTTGGCCAACTGTGACAGATATGTGTTACCCTTGTTAAGCTGGTAGTTCGCTTCTTAATGAACAAAATCAATCGCAGATATTAGTTTGTCAAACTTAATGAGCTTAACGAATGAATCACAACACATATTCTTATCTTACGTGAAAATATTTTCATCACACCTCAATTCATCTATTCAATCTAATCGACCCAACCTAGCTCATAATTAAGAGGCAACAATCTAGCACATCTCCCCCTGTAGTCACCATCTTTGTTCGCAAAAATCACACCCACACTCTCAGCCCATAGGTAGTAAATCACCGTAGTCTGTTAACGAGCACTCACAAAGTCACGAGCTTAACGAGCTTTAGACGAATAGAGTCGAACATAGTTCTGTGCTAGTTAAGCTTAAAGAGCTTAATAAGCCAAGCCTTAATGAGGAGTACGAACTTAATGAGCCAAGCCTTAGGGAGCCAAGCAGCTCGTCAATCCACCCCTAACCTTAGCAGCTGAGTTACAGAGTTAGCCATCCAAACTTAAGAGCGCCAGTTCAACCAAAAAAAGCTCGAGCCGAAAAGAGAGAGTGAAACATTGTACTCATATGTAGAAACACTAGTTCAGAATATCATGGCATCAGAACCACATCATTATGATTGAGAAGTCGGCATACTTTTCAAAACATGGACAACTTCAGTTTTTCTTTTCAAAACAACAAACAAGTTTTCGTATTATCGGTACGAACTATCACCCAGCTCAGCAGAATGTTGTCGAGTGTTGAAGATCACTCTGTCGATGACTTTGGTAAGACGAGTGTAAAATGAAAAATAGCAAGTGCAACGGAATGCTTTTATATATTTACTATGATGCAGAGCATAGCTATTGGTGGCTACAACCTTAATTTTCATGTGGCTCTTATGTCCCGAGCATCAGCATCTCATAGGCAGGGAGGGGAGATCAGACTACAATGGAATATCGAGGCCTTTTCCCACTTCAAAACCGATTATCTCAAGAACGCCTTTGTTCAATATCTGAAATAAAAAACAGAGCCCCAAAACACATCTGTCATCACGCATGCATATATACAAAGAAGCAAATTTCAATTATGACAGTGCTTTCACGATTGAACGGTTGACATAGATGTTCTTACCAGCTCCACGATGAAGGTCCCGATGAGGCCCATCATGCAGGCCCTGGAGTTCCATACCTCGGCGGTCTTGGTGAACCCCAGGAACGGCTCGCTCAGCTTGGGTTGCGCCCTTGGCACCTGGACCTAGCAGAAAGAAACGCCAAAGTTTCAGCAACTAAAGTTAAATAAATCACTTGTCTCTTTCTGAACTCTACACACGAATCAATCAAGTACTCCCTCTGTTCACTTTTATAAGACCTTGAAGACATTTCAGACAATGTGCAAAACAGCCTATTTTGAGTTGTCTAAAACGACTTACAAAAATGAACGGAGGAAGTAGAAAAGATTTTAAACTTGACGAAGAGGCACGGGGAACCAAGGAAGCGAGGGAGGCAGCCGTGGATGCAGGAACTTACTCCGGCCGGAAGCTTCGCTGCCCGGACTCTGAAAGCCGCCGCTCTCGGTGAGCGGTTAGCGGCAGCATTCCTCTGTCCGCGGAAGGTCTGGACTGCTAGGAGAGACGGTGCATGAACGATGGAGGCCACAGCCATTGCTATACTCGAATTAACCACGGCACCACGGGGAGTTTGGCAGGGGAGAGGAAGAGCCGCAACGGCTCAGAGGTAGAGAGAGGACACGAGATGGGGCTAGCGAACGAGCGGCCGAGAGGCTGGCTGCCTGGCTTGGTTGCGTACCAACCTTATCCGGCGTGGTGTCATGCAGCAACTGGGCGTACGGTGGTGGCCCGGGATCATATGTGCAGCTGCGTGGCTCTAAAAAAATTACTGAACGTGTGTCAGGACTCGCGAGGCCTCTTTGATTCGCTTATCTGAAAATTTTAGTGACGCCCGAGAGAATTTGGTACCGTCTGAAAAATTCAAAATTTTAAACCTCAACGATCAAACGGGGTCAGATAGGGCTGGTTTGCACATTTTTATCCTATAAGCCTAACACGTAATTTAGAGACGATAATACAAATATGGACACTATTGGTTACATGTTAGTCTTATCTTTAGTAACATATACGCTGAGAGAAATTATTGCGAAGGGATCATCTCTTAATTAAAAGAAAGCATGTTTTTTTTTATTTTCTCTCTCCTCACCAAAGCATTTATCCTACGCACAGTAATCTTGCGATAGCGTCATTGTACACGTCCTAAGTACCCTATCTCATAATTCTTCTCCCTGCCGTCGCCGGAGGACGCCACCGGGCCAAGCATGTGCAGCCAACAAAGGCCTCGCAGCGGAGGGGCGCTCGTGGGCACACGAAGCATTGGTGGTTCGATCGGGTAGCAACGCTGTTGCGGGCAAGAGTTGATAGGCAGTGGTTGCAGCGCCCTGAGCTCGGTGGGAGGCCTCTACCGGTGTTAGGGACGGCCGGAGGATTGGGCCTTTCGCGCCCAGGTTCGTGCGGCTGAAGCGTGTGCTCTGTCATTGGTGCTAGTCAGTGTGGTGGTAGACTGTGGCTGGGCGTCGAATGGAAACCTCCACTACTTGGATTTGGTCTGCGGCGACAAAATAAGTACTCCACCCTTTATCGAAAAAATGCTCCTCTACATCTCGTAAAAGAAGTATTCCTCATTTGTATTCTAGGCTTTATAGCATGTATATGTTGGTTTGCTATATTTATTCATATATAGAAATTAATAAATATATTATTTAAATGTATATTCCAACAAAAATCCAAATAATGTGAAGATTAGACTTTTTACATTGCGAAATCGCAATCGACTGAGACATAACTAAGTCCCAGTCGATGTTATAATCGTGAGATCTTACATTGAGATCCATTTTTTTTCTCTTTTTAGTTTACTTTTCTTTCTTTCTTCCATGTTATGTCACTTGACTTAGACTTGATTAAGTCTCGGTCGATTGAGACATAACCATACCTATTCTAGAAATCATGATTTTACCTATTTTATTGTTTCAAGTGATTTATAGTAGTTTTAGTTGTTTTTGAGAAGCTGAATAGATTTCTATTATTCCAAAAAAACGAATTTCACTCATTTAAAAAATTGATTTCAATTCTTTCACAAAAATTAGATTTCAATTAATTTTACAAACTAATCTCACTCTTCAAAAAACAATCTCAACTATTTCATAAATTGTTTTCCTACTCTATCAAAAATCATATTTCAATTATTTCATAAAAAATATTTTTACTCGTTTATAAATTTGATTTCAATTCATACAAAAATTTGATTTCCATCCTTTCAAAAGCCTTACTCAGCAGGTGGCTCACACACGGTCCACGTATGCCATAGAGAAACGTTGCATCCTGCAACACCACACTTTGCAATCGCATTATCTTGTCAATTTCGTATTTTTTTTCCTATATGGCGCACACAGCTAGTAACTAAGAAAGGAGACACAATCAACCAAGGGTAAAAGAACAGCACAAAAAGCAGCTAAGATAATTATCATAATACATATAGCTGGGAAAATATTCTCGCGCGATCTGAGCATTTTTCCAGTACTACAAACAAACGCACGGACGTAAAAAAAAGGTGGCAACTAAAAAATCATGACTAAGGAAACACATCTAATTAACGCACGGGCACAGATAAACACTGAGAGCCAGGTGTAGACATTTCATTATGACAGTGCTTTGTAAATAATCTAGAGCTTGGGACGCTTGCATCATTGCATGGAGGGCTCTCGGTGTCAGTCTTCTTCTCGCACCCAGCTTCACCTGGACACGTTCCTGACATGTGGCCCCCCTCCACCAACTAGCGAGCATCAACTTGCGCTGCATGCTCCGCCCACCGCCCACAGGTCGAATTCCGCTCTCTCTTCCTCCGAGCAGAAAAATGCCAGCTCCACAGTACGCTCAGCCCGCAAACAAACATATTATGGCGACGACAGCAACCTTGGGGCGCCGGTTCTTACGTGCACGAAAACTTCTCAGCTATTATCAACACGGGCAAGCTGGGTATGGTAGAGAGAAGCGGCAATAACGCGAGTCGGTGGCTCGTTCCGTTGGTGGTAATGGTCGTTCGGTGGTGCATGATCCTAGGTGTAATTTTCAAGACCGCTTTCACCTCACTTTTATTCGTCCGTGTAGAGGAATAGGATGCAACTCTCAATGAATTGATAGATGCATATGGACAAGTATATATATAGTACAAAGGGCAAGTCATATCCTCAACTATACACAAGGAGGAGACTTGGAGTATAAG